CGAGCGTCGTTTTTTTTTTTTTTTTTTTTACGTTCATAAATAACAGTTTGTTAGTTAAGACCGTTGGGTTCGTCGAAAATCATCCGACGAAAAAAAAACGAAAAAAACAAAAACGCGCTACTATTTATTTTTCTTCTAATCGAAAATGCATTTGTTCTACGTTTTACCGCTCATTCGGACCGTTACGCACGCTACCGGCAATATATACGTGGACGATCCGGCATCATTCGCAACGCCCGATAGTAAATCGCGCAATAAACGCGATACTGGTGCAGGTACGTATGTACAATTAATATACGTGAAATAATATTAAAAAAAAAACAAAACGGTAATCGCCGATCGCGTAAATCTTACCGTAAATGCCCGAGTTATCAATATTGCCGGTCGCACAACACGTACGGGCGTTCCGGCGATTATTATCGCGGTACAATCGCTCGTAACCGCGCGAACGAACGCGATACCGTTTGCCCGTTCCGCACGACCGAAATCGGTGAACAAACCCCCCCCCCCCCCCCCCCCCCCCCCCCCCCCCCCNGCCCCTCCCCATCCCCCCCGCCCGGTTAAAGGCGTATCGGCGGTCATTATAATTTGCCCCTGCCGCCACCTTACCCCATCGCCCCGCCCGTCCGCGAACGGGCGAAACGACCGCGGATCGGCCGGACCCGGAACGTCGCCCGGATCCCATTTCGCCGTCCCGTTTTATTTCCCTCCGAGGTCGGCCACGGCGGTCGCGCGAAAACGCGTCGCGCCGCGCAAACGATCGTTCGCCACGCCGTGCCGGGCGCGCGCGAACGGTGTCCGTGAACGGCAACGCGGACCGCGCGACGCGTGCGTACCGACAACGGTGTTTCCGTTTGGAAAACCGCTCGTCGGGAGCATTTTGCGCCGCGCGCTCGCTTGTCCGCAAATGTACAACAAACTACATTGTTATTCCGTTATCGTTATTGTTTTAACGAAAACGCATTTTTCGATTAATCAACCGACCGGCCGGCGGCGGGCGGTAAAATGGTAACGGACGAACGTCGGCCGCGCGATTGTAACGCCGCGGCGCGCGCCGACGCGTTTTCGACGCGCGACGCGCGGGGAACGGCGTAACGGCGTAACAATAACGACAATTATTATTATTTGTATTATTATTTCGGTTGTCGCCGGTGCTGCTCGCTGTCGGCGATTGATAAATTCGCGTCGACGGAAACTGCAACGGCGGCGGCGGTGACGAACGACGACCGGTCTCTCTCTTTCCCTCCCGGTATGATAATAATAATATTATTATGAATAACGCGCGACGGCGAAACAGACGACGACGACGACGACCACGCGCGTATCGGTTTTACTAATTAAAGCTTTTTACACCGCGTCTCCGGGCCGCCGCGACGCGCGTCATCGTCACAAGACAATAACGCCCGGCCCCCGTACGTGAAACACGCGCGCGCGGACCGTACGCGTTTATCGTATCGCGCGCGTTGAAACCGGGACACGCGCGGTGTACGCGGTGCTCGCGAATTTCGATTACGGATTATTTATGCCGCGCGTTCGGCGGCTTTGTCTCCGTTGGGTTAGAGAAAAAAAAAAAAAACAAAACAAAACAAAAAACAACCGCGTTTCCCCGCCGGCAAACGCGCCGTAACCATCCTCTAAACGTCCTAAAACGTCTAAACATCCTCCGCCGTTAACGTCGAAAACGGCCCACGGAAACGAGTGTGTTATTTACGGAGTCTTTCGAATCTACACGCTCTTTTTTCGAATTAATTCTTCCCGGTTCTGATACGATTCCCCCCCCCCTTCTCTCCCCTCCCACCGAAGTCACTGCCGGTTTTCAGACGCGAACTCCGCCGAACCGTCTTCCTCACTCGCCCGACTCGTTGATCGGTATTGAATCTCCCTCTCGACCTCGAGAATACACATACACATACATATACATACACACACACATATATATATATATATATATGGACACTACGCAGGGCGATTCTTTTACCCCGTTGAACGCCGGTTGTTTCGAAAATTATTGACTATTGATCTTGGTTTCACTCTAATCTCTACTTTTCGTCTTCTCGAACATTTATTGATATAAATGGTATATCTTGTTGCAAAGCCCTCAAACTCTAGGGGTTCATAAACCACCCCTCTAGGCAGTTCCGTTTTCTTTGTCCACTCAACTCCCTTTTTCGTTCTTTTGTTCGACCGATCCTAGAATACGGTTCCGTCCTTTGGGACCGTGTCCTGCGACAAACCGTCAATCGAGCGCGTCCAACGTAATAGTTTTTCCATCTAGCCCCGCCTTTCGCTTTATTATCCCCACCCCTCCGCACGGTTACTCATCTATCCTCTGATATTTACGCCTATCTAGCCTTGCTGATCGCAGGCACTTTTGCAACCTCTTTTTCCTTTCTAACGTTATTTCTGACAAAATAGATTCTCCCACTCTTTTATCCCGATTATATCTTATAAAATTCCTCTCCGCCATACCCACTTCTCGTCCCTTTTTTTCCGTTCCGCGATATTTTTCTAACAATATTCTTTCGACTTTCCTTATGCACGCTACCAACTCGGTACCCTTTATTTATAGGGACTGCAGTTCATTTTTGTTTCTTACTTTTATTTCTGGATTGTCCGGCCGTTGCTATTTATTATTGATAAATACATAAATATTGACGAACAAAATGACGGGGGGGGGGGCACTCGATCGAAATTCTCCCACTTGTTTTCTACGTCCGTGAAACGAGGACTACCCCACAATGTATGTAAATGTATTTTTTTTTTTTTTTTGAAATTCGAAATTGTATTATCGCGTCGGGCGCGATAATAATAATAATTATTACCGTTATTTTGTTTTTGTTTTTTTTTTTTTTTTCCGCCGCCACGATAATAATAATAATTATTAAACGCGCGCACGGCGGCGGCTGCGTAATTAGAGTGAAAACGCGACGAGGGCGTGGCGGCGGTGCTCCGTCGGAAAAACACAAAATAATTTAATACGGCGCGCGCGCTCCCGAAATTTACGGCCGGAGGTCACGCGGGCCCGGGGCGACGGTCGGCGGCGACGGTTTTCCTTTTCCCACACGGAACCGCGGCAAAGTCGTTTTAATTACGTTTTTAATCAACTCTATACACGTTTCCTTCTCGTCGTCGTCGTCGTCGTCGTATTATCGTTTTATATAAATTACCGCGACTTTCGACCGAACAGGTGGCCGCGGCGCCCGCGCCCGTAACGCCCGTCACGATAGCCGAAGCGTCGGCCGGTAAGCGCGGTCCGCAGGTGGACCACTGCGAACGGTACGCAATAAGAACGCGACGGACCGCGGGCCCGGTTGAAAAAACACGGAAAATGCTTTCGTGCGGTCGCGGAAAAATATGCACTTCGACCGCAGTAATAACGCACAGCCGGTATTATTGTGGTTTTCCGTTATTATTGCCGTCATCCAATAGCCTTCGAGAAGATCCGGATCCGTCCTTATCGATCCGCTGCGTTTTCCATGCGGCGTCTCATCTGCTCTCCGGAGCATACGTTTCCCAAGGGATTTCGCTCCACCGCCGGCAAAATTCAACAAATCGGTCTTCGAAAGTACCGAAACGATCATTTCACGACTCGACTAGGTTTTTTCGGACATAAACTACATTCTATAGTTATTATAAAAGTATACGACGCTCGAATAGGATGAATTTGATAAATTCGTTTCAAATTACGAGACCTACGCAAACATTCGGTCACCGTCCGGACGAAGTCTACACCTAGCCGGGTTAAATATGTACATCGCACGACGGCGCTATTTATTCCACTCGGTAGGACGGCGATTTAAAATAAAAAAATATTTATTTTTTTTTTTTTTTTGTTTTATTACTATCGTCTATAATTTATTTATTAGGTTTATCGCGATATACGTGTACCTATACGAGTATATATTTTATGCAGTTTAACGTGCTTTATTATTCGTATATATTATAGAGATAGGTACATACGTTATTGGATTTCAATAAGAACCTCTAGGCGGAGGCAATTTACATCGGGCGATACGCGCGTGCATCCGTGAATATTCTTCTGTACTCTGCTGGGAAAATAAATGAAAAAAAAAAAAGAGAATATTCATTCACGTCTGCACACGTACAAAGTTAACACGCGTAGCGAAAGTATATTATGTGCAATAATACTGCAGTAATGCCCATCGTCGTCGTCTGGATCATTTAAATTTTTCGCTCATTTTGGCCGGGGTTTTGATATGGTGTGCAGAAGCTGACAGCGTGCGCGGATGACGAGCGAGTAATGAAACGCGACACGCCGATGAATCATGAAATTCGTTTCCCGAGTCTCGTTTTTTTTACGTTTTTATAGCGCGTGGCATCCGGGGTGACGGGTATGTTAATGCAATTTTATTTTTATTTGCCATCACGTACCAGCTAATGTTGACACATATATGAGATTATAAAAGGTGTTTTCGCGGAGTAGGCCATTCTCATGACATCTTTATTCAAAATGAGTGAAAAATAAGGAATGGGGTTTAGTATAGCGAGGAATGCATTGATGGTTTTTCTACGATGTGTGGATTTTTTTTTTTTTTTGTTTATTTACAAATTTTATACAAAAAAATTTTGATACGACCATCAACTGGGGAAGTTTCAGGTGGTAAATTTTGTCTAGTAGGTGCATTGAGGAGGATGTTCTTTTGTTTTTTCTTTTAGTTTTCTTAATAATAGGGAACCAGGATGGTTTGCGTAATAAGGGTTTTTGTTATTTCCTATGTAATTCGGTTAAAAATAATCTTAAACTATTGAGAATCGTTTTTATCGAATATACCGTGATTATATATACATATATATATTAGGTTTTTTTTTATACGTGGTCAAATTTTCAAAAATTGTTCGTGACTTTTGAACCTATTTATAAGCATTGAAAATGTTCGAGTTATTTAAATGTGTATTTCTAGTTTAATGTGGATAAAATTGTTTAAAGTTTTTACGAAATTCGTAAAAAATGACGGCATTTAAAAACATGTACAATCGAACTTCGCTTAAAAACGTTTTTAGTTAGCAACGGTTTACCATCGTGTACAGATATATAAATTATTAAATCACCCTGTGTATACACGCATATAAAGATATATATTTTTTTTATCTTTTTTTTTTTTTTTTTTTTTACAATTGTACGTACACACAAATAAAAATATTGTACTCGGACGTGAACAACGCAGACGTCACATATTATACTCGGTTGCAGAGACGGGAATGAGAGGTGCAGTTTTGTGCGCGGTTGCATCACTCTCGTCTACACAAATATATATTTTTATATACGGCGGGGAGCTGGCGACGGAAAGGGGGACGGTTATACAAGTATAATATATAATGCAGAAAAACAAAACAAAACGGTTGTACGCGCGAGTGTTTTTGAGGGAGGCGGACAATAATAATATAATATCGTACCAATGTCGTGTGTATATGTATATATATAAATAATACATCTATGAATTATGGATGGAAACCTCCGTCGTCGGTCGTCGCGGTCTCTGAAGTGGTCGTATTCGTTGTATGTAAGTATTTTATATTATTGCACTGTGCATACGATATATAACGTATAGTTGCGACAGTAAATCTCCGAACGAGCAGCCGCGTGATTTTGAAAGCGTTTCGATTTTCCAGTGGTCCGCAATAGTATAAAATGTCGTGCTTCTATGTAATGATCGCGTCGGTTTTTCAAAAAATTTCGGGATGAAATATCCGTCGCGAACTGTAATAAAATAACGCGCGGCGACGAACTGAGAAACGATATGCCTCTAAAACACGTGCCCACATACACAAAACAATAAGTGAATTTATGATGGGTATAAGAGCGTTTGCACTATCGCCAAAGCGGGTTAAGCAAGTTCGGTGGTCGAACAATTTTGAGTTTCCCAAATATTATAACACATTCGTACTATTTAATGGAAAAATGAATGCCGAGTTATTCGGTGGAGGATCGGGTGTGAGATTGAATGGTTATTATAGAGGCCTACGGACCAGATAAGTGAAGACGAAAGTCCCAGCAAAAAATATTATTTGACTTTTTTTCGAATGAATTTATTTAGAAAATCTGAGCATTTTTACTCATTCTCAGTATGCGCTAAGAGATACCACTAAATATTTCAATTGGATGACCTAGTATTGAAATGGAATGATAGGAAATACCCAAATACACATTCTCAGACAACTTTTAAATTTTTAACACTTTTAGTACGCGCTTGCGCAATACAACTTACTTTTTTTTAAATTGCAACACCATTTTTTTTAAACAAGTTTTTTTTCAATTACAAAATTGGCAAATTTATAGTATCTTGAAATTTAATATTTACGAATAATTTGTTATTGACGAGATTTCAACTATGTTCAACTGATACTCGAAAATCGAAATGATAGCTCCGATATTTTGAAATACCTGTTTGTAGATACATATAAGATACAAATAAACACTTTTGTGTTTTCGTAATGTACTCTTATTTTTTTTTATTTATTCTTCCGAAATAAATTAAATGTATTGAAAATTATAAAAATTTACATACTATAAAATTGAAATTAAGATTTATTTATTCGCAACTATAGTTTTATCAAATAAATTGTCCAAAGTTTACGCCTTGGCGTTTTGAACATAATTGCAAACAGTTTAAAAATTATTTTAATGTGGCAGCTTCTATCAAATTATTACATGCTACTCGTAATTTGTTATTTAAATCTTGGACATTATTAAGAGAATCCACGTATACAATATTTTTTAAATGCCCCCATAAAAAAAACTGAAGTGTTAATTTGTGTCAAATCTGTCTACAAACAGGTATTTCAAGATATCGGAGACATCATAATTTTGATTTTCGAGTATAAGTTGAACAAAGTTAAAATTTCGTTAATAACAGATTATTTGTAAATATTAAATTTCAACATACTATGCCAATTTTGTAATTAGGAAAAACTTTTTTAACAAAAATCGTTTAAAAAATATACTCTATCCGAATATGTAAAAAAAAAAATTTGTGTTGCCATTGAATAATTCTGATTCAGATTGCAAATACATAGTAAGGGCAAAATTCGTTTTATCGGCTTTGTTTATACGAATGCCTATCTCATATATAATAATATAATGTTTACCGCCCACATAATTATTAAATTTGTTTTAATATTTTTTTATCCTATTTAAAGCGTATAAGTAGTTACGTTGTCGTCACTCATCGTCATAATAATAATAATAATAATAATAATAATGATAATAATAATAATAAAAATATAATAATATTATATTAACCAACGATACAATGTTATGTACGCCGTTAGAAATACCGAGAATACGTTTGTTGATTTTTTTCGAGGTCTCGACGCAATAACAGACAAGGTAATATTATTTTTTATTTTTTGTATTCATACGGATATGCGAGTGAAGTATATATTATTATAATATTACTCGGGAAATTATTTTTGAAACCGTCCACTCTGCTAAAATAGTATAATACATGTATTATAATATCGTCTGCTATGGCCGTTGCCGTCATTAAAATAACTGCTACGGCTCGCGGCAACGCGTCTGCATGCATTAAAACACCGATGTAATTAAAAATAATCCGCAATTTGGTGTTGGTACCGCATAATAATAATATAATAACTTTAGATCCTGGGGTTTACTACGGTGAAGTTTTTACTTCCAGAAATCTTGCTCCGATACTTATAATTTCACGGCGGTTAGGGTGGAAAATTATGTCTGATGGTTTTTTTTTTTTTGAATTTTTTCATAAAAGGAAATAGGTTTTTCCGGAATACTTACATTAGCACTTGCTAAGCGTGACAATTTTAAAATAACCTGGCCTTTGTTTAAATATTAATTGTAGTTGTTTACATGCGTTGTACTTAGTGGTAAACGAATCGAGCTTAATATTTTTTGTTATTTTAAAATAAGCCTTTAACGTTTAATTTTCAAATTAAATTCATTAAAACCCGGATATAGACTGTTTTTTTATTTTTTTCGAGTGATCGAGTGATATTTTTGCAAATTTATAAAAAAATTTCGTTTTTCCTTACATTTAATATTTATTTACTTGTTTTATTTAAGAAGTAAACGCCCTGAGGGCAGTGGTAAGAGAACTATAATTAGTATAAACAGTTAAATTACAATAATCAGAAGAGGTCAAGCTGATTATGATTAAGACGACGTAACATCTTATGAAGAGGTTGATTTTGGTCATAAGACGTGTGGTGTGCAGGGATGGAGAAGAGAGAGTGATATCGAGTGGAGTGTGAAGGTACGTGAAAAGCGACATTTTCAGGTCAGGAGCATCAAGAGTACTGTTGAGAAGAGAGGAAATAAAAATAAAATCAGTATTGATCCGACGAGAAGAGAGTAGGGAGACCGAGGAAGGAGCGGATGCAGTCGTTATCATGCAGTGGGTGAGCAATCTTCAGTTGATAGGCTGTAAACGAAAGAAAACGGTTTTGGATCCATTCGATGCAGCTGGTTACACCCCGGGTTGTCAAACAGTGACCCCGTACTCCAGAATCAACCGCACCAAGCGGCAATATAAAGCACGGAGATAAGAAGCAGAGAAGAAAAGAGAATAATTGCGCTTTACGAACCCAAGGATCTTTAGAGCACGCCCATACACTAACACCATTATGGTGTCTAAAGAAGAGGGATGAAGATAAATGAAAACCAAAATCTTTGATCCTATCAACATGAGTGAGAAAGCAGGTTAAATATGTTCATAATTTAGGTATTAGCTAGTTACGTAATATTATAGTTTGGACCTGCATCTCTATTAAGGGTGGGAGATATTTCTGTTAGAATACACATACAAATAATAATAATAATAATAATAAAAACCAAAATTTAGCGTTTATGTTATATGTGAAGATTGAAGGTAGGTAGAATATATAAAGGAATTAAAATTATATTTGAATATCTACGCAGCAATAAACCATTACTAAAGATAAACGAAGAGTTTTTTTTTTTATGAAAACCGCTTGGAAAATCAAAAAATGACCTGCTTATAGCACCACCCAAATAAAATTTCCTTTCAGAAGTGGTACTACACTTGAAAATCGGAGCAAGATTTCAGGTAGAAAAGTTGTTCAGAGATAAAAAAAATAAAATAAAAAATAAACGTCCTTGTAAAACCAATACATAAAAGAATCTAAAATAATATTGGTTTATATTAGCAATATTAGTTTCACATCAGTTATTAGATGAACTCATCTCTTTTCTCGGAAAACACTTTTTTGGTGAGTAAAATGTTTAGATTTTTGTATGCAATATTTTAAAAGACGCGGGATTAGTGTCGGCCAGTTGTACTTTATTCAAAAAATTTATCAGAGTGTACGATAGTTTATTCTATGGGTATTTTTTCGTTTTTTTTTGGGTTACCTTTAAAACAAGAATTTTGGTTTGTAATTATTTAGCAGTGCAAAAATTATCTTCTATCTCTGATACTGAAAGAAAGTGTTGTCTGTCAACCTTTATTCAATCCACATATATATTAAACATATGCGAAAACGGATTAACAGATCCGCATGCACCCCAAAGGTTGATTTCCGAAATCAAATCTCTCACATTGGATTAACATTCACACTGGTATTAGGTACGGAAATTTAATTACATTTTGTTGATTCCTTGGTTATCTTGATAACAAATGGATGAAATAGAAACACTTTTTCTTAGAGGGACATAGTTAATTGGATTCGTTTTGTTTATTTAAGTTATTGAAAATATTTTATAAAAACTATGTATTTATAAGGTGAAAAATGGCATTACATTGGGTCTAATAATGTCGGGTGGGACAGCTGTAGTATAAACTAAATTACCCTTATATCATATCTTCTCAACGACCCATCTACAAGAAAGGCCTACCAATGGTGCGACATATTTATTGTAATTATTTTATTAAAGATTTTTTTGGTATATAGGCAGCAATAATGTTATACGCGAGAATACTAGATACCTATATACGTGGTATTTGAAAATCAATGTACTGCATTTTATCGAATGGCAAATATTATTATTAACCTATCCTCTTCGGGGTACACGATACATAAACACCGTTTAATACAATACGTACGGATAAAGAGAGATTTTTTAACAAATATATATATAGGGTGCTGCATCGTGTTCTATGGACTTTTATATTCCTGTTAATATTCAATTATTTTACTAAGGGACGATGTTGAAAATCTATTTTGTTCTAAATGCAAATACCGCTGAAAAGAAAAACATTCGATATTAAGATTTGAGACATGGAAATCTGTAGAGCACGGTGGAACACCTTGCATACTATTGATGGTTGATAAATTCGACGGTATACGTTTGTATTGGTATATACGAGCGCTTAGACTACAGGTAAACAACAATAATAATATATACCTAACTATAAAATATTATTCGCATCGAAAATATTATAAAATATTTCTGTTCGGAAAAAAGGAACATAAATTTAATAAAACAGGGCAATATGTTATTTGTATTTCGGACGGGAAAACGAAACATTGTATCGACGTTTTATTATCTATACATTTATATCGGTAGCCGTATCTTCTACTATATTAATAAAAGGAAGTGGCGTCTGTCTGTGTGTGCGATCCACTATCT